AACAGCCCTCCTGCTCTTTATAACACTGGAGGCTCCCGCTGCCGGTGACGGCGTGTATCCTGCATTTAACTCGGACCAAAATCCACACTGTACCTTCATGCAATGCTTGTTTAGCAAAGCTCTGGATTTACCGGTCGATCTACGTTCCTACCCTCATCTATGGTCATGAACTTTGGGTCATGATGGAAAGAACGAGATCCCGGGTCCAAGCGGCTGAAATGAGTTTTCTCCGTAGTGTGTCTGGGCTCTCCCTTAGAGATACGGGGAGGAGCTCAGTCATCCGGGGAGGACTCAGAGTAGAGCCGCTGCTCCTCCACATCGAGAGGAGCCAGTTGAGGTGGCTCGGGCATCTGGTTAGGATGCCTCCTGGACGTCTCCCTAGTGAGGTGTTCCAGGCACGTCCCACCGGGAGGAGACCCAGGACACGCTGGAGGGACTATGTTTCTCTGCTGGACTGGGAGCGCCTTGGGATTCCCTTGGAGGAGCTGGACCAAGATGCTGGAGAGAGAGGGACATCTGGGCCTCCCTACTGAAGCTGCTACCCCCGCGACCCCGGATAAGAGGAAGAAGATAGATAGATGGATGGATGGATGGATGGATGGAGCCCAGTTGAACGAGCGAGGACTGTTGGCTAGCTAACATTAGCGATTCCTTGTCATAACGTTATCGGTAAATGCGTAAACCCTCTCAGACGTCAGCTAGCTAATATTAACTCGTTAACTAGCAGCTATAACATTGATTTTATGCAGCTGCTTTGCTACTTGCGTTTATTTATGGGCGAAATCCAGCCAGGAAGTAGAGACGACGAAAATGGCGCTCTATCACGGTCTGGGAGTTGGACTTGATCACGTGCTCCGACTGCAGCGTGCAAAGCGCAATTCACAGTGACTCAAACAAAACAAATACTGCAGGTCATGGATAAATTTATTGAGAGAAATCAAAAACTTTGTTTATGGTTCCTTTGTACGTTTATTTAGTTCAGTTAAAATCAAATCCAAAAAGAAGGAGAAACACAATCAAATGTATAATTTTATCCAGTTTACAGCGACAGTTTGATTAATCAGCTACATGTTAGAGTTTTTTCAGTGTTGGGTCAGTTCTGTCAGGTTTTCTGGTGTTTAAATCAGAACCTTTTGTCCTTCACTATAACCCCCACCTCCCTCAAAGGAAGTCTATATTTAGCTGCTCGCTGCAGAAACTCGTGAATTTTTTAAGCTCTGTAACTCGGCTCCCCCGGCCCCGCCCCCCAGACGTGTGGGGATCTCCGTGGCAACCCCTAGTTTCCTGGGACAGTGACAGGGCAGAGTTACATCATCTCTGTCTGTCTGCACAAATGTTTGACCCTCTGTGGTTCTGCTGGAACGGAACCCTCTGCCTTCAGAACCGGGCCTAAAAACTGAAAACCACAGAACCGTCCAGAACCGAGCCCAGTGGAAAGCAAAGAGTTTCTTTAAAGGAGAAACCCAGACAGATGTGTAGGCCTTGAACCCGATCGGATGGAGCTGCCCTTACAGGGGCCAAGGTCGTAGGTAAACAGACCTGGGTTCTGATTGGTCGCTCAGGCCATCACTCACCAGCAGCGCTGGGTTTTAGGAACTTTAAGGAAAACTTTGGACCTCCCTCCGGCCCGTCAGAACTCACCCTTCATCATTTGTTTGTCTTTTAATTAAATCACACCAGGTTCCTTCCCTCCAATTAACCTTCAGCCTCGGCCAATCAGCTTCGATCTCGTTAAGATGGACCCAATCAGCCGAAAAGCGTCACCTCTATAATCTCCCCGTCGCCGTGGGACAACAGGTACAGGAAGACTAATTAAAGGTGGATGTGGCTTCGTCTCCAGTCACATGACCTCCATCAGAAAGCGTCGACCTTCTTCTCAAACACGCCGGATTAAACTTCAGGAACTCCAACTAGTTTTTTGGACCCTGGCTTCTCTGAGTGGACGGAGCCACAGCTAGAAATGAGATGTTTCCGAGTTGCTCGGCGTCCATGAGACGTTTTTCCAGGTTTGATTCCCAAATGAGCAGATTTGCTGCTGAGATCATTTGATACATTTCTCTGTTATTAAAATATTAAAACATCTGAAAACCTTCAGGCGTCCGTTTCACAAAGCAGATTCAAACTCTAAGTTGATCGAGCCTAATGTTGGAAACTTTGAGTTTTCCGTTTCATGACGGCTGCTATCAATTAGTTCAGAGTTTAGCACGTGCCAAAAGTCATCATCAGTGGAGCAGCGATTATAATCACCATGACAACAGGTAACAGGAAGTGCCCACTGGAACTAGAGATTTTAATGCAGAAATGGAAAAAGTGGATCTGTTGAAAAGACAGAGAAACAGAACTGCAGCTGCAAAGAGAGGAAGATGGAGAAGGAGATGATTGTTCCTCAAGTTAATGCGTAAGTTTATGTTAAATGTCCTATGGCAAGCCGTTTTTACATTTATTAAGCACTCTTTTGTAGATCACTAAAATAAGATCCTTCCTGAAAAAGATCACATTACTAGACAGAACTGTAATAATATAATTTCTAAAATACATTTTAGTAGCAGAAATGGGATTTTCGAAAGTAAAAAAACAACAAAATTAAACTAGTAAGAATTAAGCTTTACTGTATATATCCAGTATATGACCAGTAATTTTAGGAATATGGAGATCCAAAAGTAATTTCTAGACACCAAGAATGTTTATTCTAGATGTGGAGAATCTTATTTTGTTTGAAATGGTAATTTATGTTTCCAGATATCAGGATTTATTTCATAAATGGTTGATCAATACATCTATTCAGGTGAGATCTTCTAACCTGACTCCGCATATCCATCTGGAAACCTTCCGTTGAAGTAAATTTGGGAAGGGGCGAAAATACTGGTTAGCTGATTGGGCTATGTTGGTGATAGACGGGCCAAATAAACCAATCAGATCAATGAAGCATATGACGTACTAACAGAGCGACGACGAAGAGGAGCCAATTGATAGATCAAACTCTTGCTGAAACCAGTCGGGAGAAGAGCAAAAACATCTTTTCCTCTGAGAAAAGCCTCCAGAGCAGTGTTTTGCTCTTCTTTCAGTGAAGAAATACTCTGTAATTCTGATAAAACTTGCTCGATAGCCACGCTAACGCTAGTTTGGTCGGCTGAAGCCGCCATGTTCTTTAGACTGAACTGTCGCGCTTCTCGTTGCGTCACACCTCAACCCACCTCAAAGCCAACGCTGATTGGACGTTCGTTTGGTGAACGGCTCCAAATTTTCTTCAACGGAGAGTCTCCAGACTGATCTGCGAGTGAAACCTTGAAAGCTCGCGAGATCAGGATGGTCTCACGGGGCTAGAGATCTTCTGGCAGCAGGTGAAAAAGTCGTTCTAATATAGAGAACCTGTTCATCGTCTCATGGGTTCCTCCTCATGTTGATTCATTCTGTTTTAAACAGTAAATATTTAGTATCTGTTTGCCGCCAAGCTTAGGATGTTTTCTTTCCAATAAATGGTCGTTATTAGCGGCTATCAGTCCCATAGAATAGCTTCAGATTGTTCCAGTAGACTCATCATGTTACTGAGTGAATCCTAATCCTTACTCTAAAGTAATTCCTTTTATTCCTGCAGGAACCAGAAACGTCGCGGGTCAGAACCACCTTAAATTCTTCTTTAAACCAGGCTGGACTTAAAGCAGAATGAAAACATTAAGGACTGTTTAGTCATAAATTAGCTTTTTATTTTATTTTACAGAAAAAAACATTAAATTCTTCAGTTTGTAGTCAGAACCACGAGCGTTTTTCCTCCACAGAAATGATGCAGCGACACGCCGTCGTTCACAGACAGTATTTTATTCCTTAGATACAATAATTAGCGTCATGATGATCAGACATAAATAGATCAGCTCTGTTTATCTCACAGCGAATATTTACAGATCCAAAACGTCACAAACAAACACGGATCTGATCCCAGAGCAGCCGGACGTCACACAGGAGTTACAGGTTTCAGAGAATATTCAGAACGCTGGGCGGGGTTCCTCCCAGGATGTAGTCTGGGCCCACTGCCAGGCTTGTTCTGAACCAGATTTAACCCTGCTGAACGTGCTGAAACGTTCAGATCGATCCAGGAAGTAGATGGATCCAAGCAGTGAGTTGAACTGAGACAGAAACAAATTGAAACCAGAACCAGCAGCTGTGCTCAGAACCCGGTTACCAACATTGCAGCGGGCAAAGACACAGAGGTTCTGATCTGGTCCAGAACCTGCTGTCTGGAATACAGGAAGTAGTCTAATCCTTGAGTCATTAGTGATTTTTTCAGGTTCTGCATCAGAGGAGTTACAGAACATGTCAGAACTGGACCAGAACAAACAGCTAGTGGGTCAGAACAAAGACCCACCGATCCATTCGGTTCTGTTCTGCTTTGGGTCAGAACCCAGCAGAAATGTGTAAATTCTGATGACTGACCCGATGTGGCACGCCTGAACAGGACCGCTCTGTGTTCTGCTGGAACCGGGCTAAAATGGAGCTTCTCTGACAGACAGGGCGGTTCTGACCCGACTGGTTTTACACGCGGGTCACCAAGTCAGGGGAGTGTGTGGTTCTGATTGTGTCAGAACTCAGTAAGAACCATTCAGAACCAAACGTCTGCAGGTGTACGACCCAAAGCCTGGAGTGGGTTAGAACATTTCTGCCTCTGATGGAACCAAACCCAGATATCTGAACGGAACCGAATGGAAACTTTCTGCTGAGAATTAAAGCTGCTGTCTGCAGGCTGCGGTGCCACCTAGTGGCAGGATCCGGTTCTGATCCAAACCTGTTTTGGGTCAAAGGTTCCTGATCATGAACCGCTTCTTTCTTGGTTGCATCATCAGAACATTTTGTAGTGAAAAAATTTAATCTCAGCGTCGTGTTTCCGTTCGAGCCGAGGGACCGCACAGAAACGGTTACCATGGCAACCGCCGGTCCATTTGGATCAGCGGAAGCTGATGGATCAGAATTCTGTTAATCTGCCCAGTTGTCATGGTGACCGTTTCAGATATGATTCCAGTACATAGTCAGGTCCCAGAGTTAACAATGCACACAGGAAGCGATGAGGTCAGTCGAGGAAGAAGCAGTCAGTTGTCATTCCAGTTTTCCAGGTCATAGCCAGGACCCAGAGAGATGAGTGGTGCAGTCTAATTACAGAACATTCAACAGATGAAATGAGACGAGCTGCTCGTGTCCCCGGTTCTCGTTCGGTTCTTCTTCTCCATCTTTGGAACCTTCTGGTGCTTCAACCTTCTGAACCGACAGATGAGAATGAATCCAGCACTTAGTCCCAGCCAGGAGCCTATAGCAGCTCCAGGCAGTAGACGGAGGCCACGGCAGGTTGCGAATGCAGTGAGTGAGAAAGAAAGAAGCAAGCAGATGGATCCAGGTTTTAGTCTCATCCAGAACCGGCTGCACTGCTCCCGCCTGGGCCGCCCTCTTTACTGAGCCGGACTAATTCCTGGGACAGGAGCTCCAGATCCTGCAGGAAGACAGGGAGGTTTGGGTCAGACGGTTCAACCTGGAACAATCGTCCATCGCAGCATTCAGCCGAAGGTGGCGGCCGGAACCAGAGGTCCGATTACTTCTGCTCTACGGCGCCTCCTTTGGGAAAACTAAGCGTTTTCATCCCTGCAGCTCACAGATCTACGTAAGAGGATTAGGGCCACTGGAAAAAAAAAAAGTTAACTGATTTTTAAATATTATTTCAGTTTAACATGGGAATTCTGACTTTTTTACTGTCAGAATTCTGAGATTAAAGTCAGAATTCTGACTTTTTTCTCACAATTCTGACAGTACAAAAGTCAGAATTCTGAGATTAAAGTCAGAATTCTGACTTTTTCCCCATACTAAACTGAAATAAAAAAAAAAAAAAAAAAAAAAAATCAGTTAATTTTTTTGTTTTTTTCCACTGGCCCTAATCCTCTTCCGCACCGATCGGCCGCCAGACAAACAGAAAGGAGAAGCTCTTAGCTGAGGAAGTGCAGAGAAGCTGCTGACTGATAACATTAAAATAATAAATGGACCGGGTCAAACTGAAATAACTTTACTGTTTGCAAACAATAAACCAAGCCTGAGAAAACGGAAAATAAAAGCGACAGATAAACTTTAATCTGTCCCATACGGTGGCCTAGAGGGGTCAACACACCGTCTAAATTCTATTGCACGTCTGTAAAACACCGCAGCAGGACTTCAGCACACAGAATGGATCCAACAGGAAACGGAAACATCACAGAGTTCACTAACGATGACCGGATCCGCTTAAAACATGAACAGATTTACACCTACAGAGCGGAAAATGAAGGATTTGAACATCCTGCAAGTTCTCCAACTTAAAAATCATGGAGGGTCTGAAATGATCATCATAGGTGGTCTGCCTTCATGTCCACCTCCATTTATTATCCTAAATTAGACGCACCTGTTTTGTTAGCTGCATAAAGACACCTGTCCACCCCAGACAATCAGTAAGAATCCGGCTAATATCATGGCTGAGACCAAGGAGCTGTCCAAAGACACTACAGACTAAATGTTCCAGCTCCACCAGGCTGAAAAGGCTGCAGGGAAATAACCAAGCAGCTTGGTGGAAAAATCTCCACTGCTGGAGGAATTATTAGGAAATAGAAGAAGCTAAACATGACGGTCAATCTCCCTCAGACTGGAGCTCCATGCAAGATCTCGCCTGGTGGGGCCTCAATGATCCTAAGAAAGGTGAGAAATCAGCCCAGAACTACACCTGAGGAGCTGGGACCACTGTTTCCATAGTTACTGTTGGTAACGCGCTAAGAGGTCATGGTTTGAAATCAGGCATCATGCAGTGACCATCTGGAGGATCCTCATGAGGTCAGATGAGACCAAAATAAAAGTTTTTGGTCATAATTCCACTAACCGTGTTTGGAGGAACAACCATCCCTACTGTGAAGCATGGGGGTGGCAGCATCATGCTTTGGGTTTTTTTTTCTGCACATAGGACAGGGCGACTGCACCGCATTAAGGAGAGGATGATCGGGGGCCATGTATTGAGAGATTATGGGGAACAACCTCCTCCCCTCAGTTAGAGCATTGAAGACGGGTGGAGGCTGGGTCTTCCAGCATCACAATGAGCCGAAAAAACACGGCCAGGATAACCGAGGAGCGGCTCTGGAAGACGCAGATGAGGGTTCTAATGTGGCCTAGCCAGTCTACAGACCTAAACCAATAGAGAATCTTTGGAGGGAGCTCAAACTCTCAGAAGAGTCTATAGAAGATCGATGTGGAGGAATGGGCCAAAATCCCTCCTGCAGTGTGTGCACACCTGGTGAGAAACTACAGGAAATGTTTGACATCTGGAAATGCAAACAGAAGCTACTGTACCAAATATTAACACTGATTTTCTCAGGTGTTCAGATACTTATTTGCAGCTTTATCATAATAATAAATAGTTAAAAACATCAAACATTGTGATTTATTTTTAGATTATATCTCTCAGAGTGGACGTGCCCCTATGATGACAACTTCAGATCATCCATGATTTCAAAGTGGGGGAACTTGCAAAATAGCAGGATGTTTAAATACTTATTGTCCTTATTATATATATATATATATATAGATAGATAGATAGATAGATAGATAGATAGATAGATAGATAGATAGATAGATAGATAGATAGATAGATAGATAGAGAGGCTGGAGGCGGGGCTTCAGGCCGTCCTATCAGACGGCTGCAGCTATAAGCAGGTGGCTGACGGAACCAATCAGGATTGTTCGCAGCTGTTTCTGCTGAACTCAGGAGGTTGCCTCATCATTAGGAATTGTGTTACCCATAATGCATCAGTGCTGACCCTCATCCCCTTACATTACGGTGTGGATTCCTAAGGAGCGGTTCTGCTCAGGTCGTTACGGGTCAGGGGTCGCTTACCTTCTGGAGGTGCATGTTCTTGGTCAGCTGCTCCTCCAACATGTTCTGCAGCTTCTTGTTCATCTCTCTCAGGTTCTCGTCTCCTGGTTTCACCAGATCTCTGAGGACCGAGCCGAGACCTCCTCTGTCTCCCTGAGAGCCTCCGTGACCTCCGACCGCGCTGCCCGACACGTCTGAGGAGAGAGGAGGAGCAGATTCAGCTTAGAGGAAGACCTTCAGAGGAGCTGCTGAAGAACAGACTTCTGGAACTGAGGAGAACCGAGGAGGAGCTGGGACGGAAAGAACCCGGCTGGTTCCGTGTGGGTCTGGGTCTCACCTCTGCGGCTGTCCATCACGTAGGTCTCGATGATGGCGCTCTTCCTGCAGATGTCCTCGGCCATCGATGAGCAGCTCACCTCCAGGTGCTTCACCTTGGAAACGGAGGAGCTCATCAGGTCCCGGTTCTGAACCGACAACAACACCGTTTCCACGGTGACAGGCGGCCGCTCACCTTCTCCTCCAGCATCCACTTCTCCTGCTGGACCTCGGCGAGCCGCTGGAACAGCTCGCCGACCTCGTCGTCCGAGAGCTCGGCGGGACGCTGGGACTGCGGGCTGCCTCCTCCGGACTGAGAAGCAGAGACAGGCGGCGGTCAGCAACGCTCACGCATCAAACAACACCTACAACCTTTCTACAACTTTCTCAGCCCCTGAGCTCCGTTAAATGCGATGGTTCAGATATATCAGCGCTTTGATTAAATATCTATAATAGATTTCCCTCTTAGAATGTTAGAAATATATTTTTCTAAATATATTTTTTAAACAACATCCTGCAAAAAATGATCTAAAAAGAAGTAAAAGCTGCAGCTGAGACATGATGCAGCTCAGGCTGCTGTGGTGGGAAAGAACTGGAAACGCAAAAACTACCTAGAAATAAATGTCTTAAATTAAATCTATTTCATTCTTTTTCCAGGGGATCATCTAAATAAATGATCCTCCTAATTCTCAGTCATTCGGCTGACATGTTAACCAGGGCTGTGAATCTTTAGGATTCCCACGATTCCATTTAGAATCGATTATTTGGGTCACAATTAGATTTTTTTCCCGATTCTTTTAAATCCAAAGGATTCGATTCAGAAACGATTAATTTACGATTGAAAATGATTCTCAGGATCTATTCCAGTCTGCTGGCATGAAAGAAGAGTACAATTATAAAGACTTTATAATTGTAAAGGTTTTATTTACCTACTGCAATAATGTCAAGACAACATGTCTTGGATTGAACAACTCTGAGTGACGTCTTTCCAGATGAGAACGGGGATTTGAAGAACTCCCAAAATACTTAACTTTACTGCAATCTGTGCAGATCCAATCGTCATCTCAAGCGCCTTCTTACCCGGGCTGGGTTAAAGGTAAAATCAAAGTGTTTCCAAATGGTTGCTTTTAAAGACGCCGAGGCAGTTTAATTTCTTTTTTCTTCGTCCTCCATTCTTTAGCGGCACATTGCTCATTGGTTTTGCTAAACACTACGGTGCCTGATAAGGCACATCCGCACTATGGGTGTAAATAATAATCGTTTTGTATCGATGCATCGATCCAACAGCCGACGATCCGATGCATCGATGCGTCCGCAAGAGAATCGATTCATGTTTTGTTTTCCCTCTGGTCTATTTTTATCCATTTGCTCCTGGGCGTAATCCTCCCGTGCTGCGGTGGTGCTAAACCTATTTTGCCCTCCTACCTCGCTTCCTGGTTATACTCTTACAGCAGTGTGTTGCAGTGAGCTTCACACAGACATTTTTAAATTATGCTCAATATTGAAGCGTGGTCTGTGCTACACGCTGTGGGTCTAGATACGGCCGAGGCGGCGAGGAAGTGGGGGCGAGTTTAGTCCGACGACGGAGGGACATGAGGGCCAAAAAGAGCGGAGATCCAGGTGGAAAAAGGGTCCCAGCGTTCTCGTGCACCTCGCTCTTCCAGCGGGTCAAACTTCACGAGTTGTTTTCCGCAATTTCGGTCATAAAAACAAAACAAGCCGGCCTCCTGTCTGCGGTCAGCTACAATCTGGGAGAGGAGCAGCGGAGCGTCAGTGGAGGGGGCGGAGTCTGGAGCCGAGGTATCGCATTGCACTCATTGCACTGATATTATGCAGTATTTTTTGATGCAACTTTTCTACTTCTGTTATTTGCTGTTGTTTCATTAAAAAATGCATAACAATATTACAGTTTTCATTGATTTATTTCAAACTTGAAACTTTGTTTAGCCTGTAAGGTCTAAAAAAAAAAAAAATTAACCAATTAATCGATTAATCGAATCGAATCGTGGTGTATTCTTGAGTATCGAAAATAATCGAATCGTTGGGTCAGGAAATCGATACTGAATCGAATCGCCGTGATGGATGTGATTTACTCCTCTAATCCGCACCCACAAAAAAAATGGTTTTAAAAGAAAATGAGAATCGATTCTGAATCTTTAAATGTTAGAAACGCGATCTGAGCTCAAATCGTTTTTTTTCTTATAATGTTTTGTTTCTAATGTTTACGTAAAGCCGTCCTACGTGCCCTCCCACACGTTTAACAGGCGTTCCCTCTTTTTTTTAAAGCTGTATTTTCAAAAATTTGCAAAAATCCTCCAAATACCTTCAATTTAAGCAGGTAAATAAGATGATTTGCTTATGGAGTGAATAATTTTACTCTTAAAATAAGATAATTACCATATTTTCTGGATTATAAGTCAGTTTTTTTTTTTTTTATAGTTTGGCCAGGGGTGCAACTTATACTGTGGATTTTATTAATGCATTATTATATCATTTCACATGTTATTTTCACACTGAACCATAAGAGGGCGCTCTAGGCCTGTGTTGATAATTTCAACATTGGGGTTAACTTATAAAAACAACTGAGAAGGGCTTCACTACAGGAGCGTATCGCATTCACCAAAGAAAAAGAAAAATCAGACAGATTATCTCATAATTATGAGATACAGATCTGCTAATTATGAGATCTTATCCATTTTTCCAACTCCATCAGCAGCTGCTTCTGATGCGTGTAACCACGTCAGAAGCTCATGATTCGCTGCTCGTGCTGCTCTAAACGCGCTGCAGGACCTTTTGCTTCACCTTGATGCGCATCAACCATTGACTTTGCATGTAAACCTGCTGCTTCTGCTGCATGTGGTGCTGTACGTAGCATTAGCCTCAGATGCTAGCAACTAATTGCAAAACTTGACTTTATTCTGGACTGCTGTGCAGCTTAAATTAGTAATGTTTTTACATTTTGGATACCTGCAATGACACATAACCGGTATTCATTTCTTATTTAAATCAGGAGCCACATTAGACCTGCTGGATGCAAAGCAGAGCAAAGATAAGGCAGCAGCAGTCGATTCTCCTTCAATAAACGAGGAGCATCCTCTTCATCAGCGTGTCGCGCTGCAACACTGACCTCTACAGGAGGACCTTCCTGCCTTCAGCCATTGAATCTAACTTAGCTCCAGAACAGAACAAGCTTCAAAAAGATCTTCAGAACTACTGCAGATGATGAACTGATCTGTGTATTTATGTTGTATATTTCTACTCTTTTTCAGGTTCCTGTTATTTTCCTAATGTGCAACTTGTGCAATTTCTTTTAATGGTTTGTTCATAATGTAATGTAATTTCTTTATGGGAGGACCCCAGGAAGATTAGTGGCCATTTATTTGGCAGCTAATTGGGATCCTAATAAAGCTAAACTAAACTAATTAGCTGAAGAAGCTCCACCCACCCTGTTCTGATTGGTCGGCTGAGCCTCCTTCATCATGTCCTTGTAGGAGAAGGAGGAGACGGAGGAGGAGTCTCCGGTCTGCTGAGTCCGACTGGGACTGTTGATCTCAGAGAGAACCAGCTCCTCCAGACCTGGAAGGTGGAGAACAAGAAATCTGCTGAACACAACTCTGGGTTCTATGCTGGTGAAGAAAAGTTAAAATCAATCCTCTGGACTTTGTTTCCAAGTTTGAAGACGTTTCTCTTCCATCCAGGAAGATTTTTCAATTCAAAATGTCAGAAATAGCGTTTAGTTTAGGGCTGCAACTAACGATTATTTTAAAAATCGACGAATCGGCCGATTATTTTTTAGATTAATCGATGAATCGGACAAAAAATATTTTTTTATATTAACCTCTTTATTCCAAAATAAACATTTTAGACAGAACAAACAAGCACACAAGTACAGGTTGCTCATTAACTGTACTGGTGCAATATGAAAAATAAATGTTTGTGTTAAAACTACGCAAACTTACATGAGAAATGTAGCTGTACATCCACAAAATATAGGCTACTTTGTTTCATAAAGCGCAAAAAAAGACATTTTTGTTTTAAAAGCCCCTAAGGGGTTCAAACAATAGGCCCCCCCATTTCAACAAATGAGTTTTTTTTAGACTAGAAGAGTTCTGCCTTTTAAGACAGGAAAGTATAGCAGTTAAAGTTGCTGCTTGAGAAAATACTGAACCATAGAGATAAAAATAGCCCTGTAATTCAAATTATAAATTGTATTTGGAATAAAAATGAGAGAACTAGGGGTGCTAAAAAACACATCCTCCAAAGACAGATATTTACATGGGAATGTGGCAGATAATTAATTGACATATTACTGATCTTGCTGGATTTTATTCTGCTTTACTTCTATAAATTGCAGGATCATCTTTACTTTATCTTTGCCAGAAGATTTAAACTTTAAAAGCCTTGCCCTCATAATTTGCAAGTTAATATATTTATAAAGTAAATGTAAACGCTGCTTAAGCTAATTCAAATGAAGTTCAAAAAGTAAAATAAGTAGCCAACCTTATCACTGTCTGTAACCTACTAACACGGTAAGGAAAGCATCAGATGAGCTACCTGAGAAACTAACGTTACGTTTCCCCACTTTAAAACCAAACAAACATGGTGCTTCTGTGCCATGTTAATTTGTTTTTACAAAAGTTGCATGTTACGACTTTTTTCACTGTACAAAGCGCAGGCTATTTTAATTATTGTGATCAATTTACGCCGTCAATCGCGGCGCATGCGCGCTTCATTTGCAGTCTGGACGCTGAGGGTAAACATCCTGCGGCTCTGACTGCAGCGCTGAGAGGGACTCCTGCGGGAGAACGGGGTTGGGGTGGGGGAGGCGCCCCACAGCAGAGTAGGAACGATACATGCTTTCACGTAAGAGTCTCCAAAAGCCGCCAGTGACACCGTAAAAAGTCGCCAGATTTGTCGCTAGTCGCTTTTTTGAAAAATAGTCGCTGGAGGGGTCCGAAAAGTCGCTGAGTTGGCAACACTGCACCTGCGGCGCTGGCTCGCTCTGCCGTATTTTTTTTTCCTCCCCCGTTTCAGTCAAGTGGATGTGATGACGGCGGCGGCGGATGACGCATTAATTGCGCGACACAACTAATCGATGATGAAATTCGTTGCCAAGGCTTTTAAAAATCGTTTTTTATCCATTTTATCGATTCGTTGTTGCAGCCCTAGTTGAGTTCCAGGTTTTATACAGTAGTCCAACAAAGCCCCCCTCTGTTTAAGGTTGGTTTTTCTTTCTTAACATAGAAATGGACAAAGGAGATTCATTTGAGGACCAGAATGTTCACATTTTGGTCTGAGAGGGGCGTGAAGGAAGCATCTATGTTAAGAAGGAAAAACCAACCCGGACCAAAGAGCTGCGGTCAGTGTGATCAGTGTAGCCACGGTTTAACCAGACTGGGCTCAGGATCAGGGTTAAGTCCAGTCAGAACCAGCGTAGAACACTGATCACATTCTCTCTGCTCTGACTGATTAGGTTCTGGTGTGAGGTCTATCTGCTCCGTCTTCCTGCACCAGAGGTGACATCACAGCATCAGGTGTCTCACCTGTCCTGGTTTTACTGTTGGTCAGGATCTCCTGCAGTCTCTCCTGCAGCTTGTCGGCCCGCTTCCTCTCCAGCTGCAGCTGCCGCTTCAGGTCCTTCAGCTGAAGACACACGTTTCAGTTCTGGAGGTCGACCAAGGCTGAGAACATGAGCGATTCATGAAAACTCACCGCTGAGCTGCCCTTCTTCTCCAGGATCCGCTGGCCGTCCACAGTATCCTTTATCTCCTGCAACATAGAAACACCACGAGGGTGGCTGGGTTAAGGCACAGATCCTTCTGTGGACCTTCAGAGCTCAGAGGAGGCGGAGATCCCGGACCCGGTTCTGACCTGTTTGAGTTTCTCGATGGTTTTCACATGTTCGTCCCTCTCCTTCTCCGCCGCCTCCAGCTTCTGCTTCCATCCCTCCATCTCTGCTCGCTTCTCCTGCAGACAACAGAAACTCATCTCAGGGCAGGAAGCCGGACAGAACAGTTCGGATTTAAGTAAAGAACATCTTGGTCTCCAATGATCGGAACCAGCCTGACCCAGAGACCCGTTCAGAGGAACTAACCGCATTTAATTCTCTCTAATCTTTTCCTGCTAATTAAACGGACCGACGTCTTCAGTAAAGGAGGTCATCAGCTGCAGCGGACTGAGGAGCAGCTGCTGACTCTCAGGAGCCACACAGAACACTTCAGAACTCTGGATCCAATAACCCAGGGGGCGTCACATTAGAGGTTCTAAGAACCTGAATGAGATGGTAATGGGGACTGCAGGGGGCGCCAAAGAGCATGAGGCTGCGAGCAAGACGAATACAGATCAGAACCAAACAATTGATGGTTCAGGGTTCCTACAGCATAAGGAAAGTTAAAATCAAAACTTTTTTACTTTTTGATGCCATTTGAAATAAAAATTTAAGACCAAATTTACAAGAAACAAGAAAAACCTGCTTGTGACAACTTAACCCAAAGGTTTATTTTAACTAGGGATGCACGATATAATCGGCCCCCTATCGGTATTGGCCTTAAAACTGAATATCGGACATCGACCACCCCACCGATATTTGATCAGCTTCTGAGTTTCTAAAGTCTAAAAAATAAAATAAAATAAAATAAAATCCCCCGAAAATTCACCAAATTTTGCCATATTTTTATATGTTGATATATTGACGCGGTATCGATCTATTTTACTAACAAAATCTCACAAGAATTTGCTAAATATCACGAGAGTTTGTAACAGAACGATGAAATTTCACCAGATTTTGAAAGTAAAATAGATCGATACCGTTTTTAAAAATCTATTTGATATCAGCACATGAAAATATATTTGAGTATATTATTTTTCAAAGTGTCAGAAATGGATAACAAAACTGCTATTTTCAATGACTACTTATTTTTGTCCAGCTTTAACATCGGTATCGATATCGGTTATCGGCTACATGAGTTTTAAAATATCGGCATATCGGATATCGGCCAAAATCCCAATATCGTGCATCCCTAGTTTTAACATAAACCACTGCACTAATGTTTCAAATGTTGAAAAGCTTCCCATACAGGAAGAAAGCTAAAAACACACAAATGACAGATATATTTTAATAATCATTTAACTGAATTCACAAACTTTGTTTTAGCAGGGAACAAAACAAATCAGTTTTAAACCAGTGCTAAGTCTTTTTTGCAGCTATTTTTCTTTGTATGGTTTTCTTAGTATGTTTGATTTGGTGATAAGTGGAGGCGTTGCAGAGACAAGGGTGGAACTAAACTGAGAAATACCGGCTGTTTCTCTGTAACTCCATTTTGACGCTTTGTGTTTCGTGCTTCGCATGTGCGACTCCACTGCCTTAATTCCCATCGTTCTGAGCTTGAATGACTTCTTGCATAAATCCACTGAGCCTCATGTATGTTCCCTGGTTTTAGCCATGGAGGAAACTCTTGGCTGGAGACAATTTTGGTTACATTTACACTTGCTCATATTTTCCAGACAAAAAGTTAATGGAGCATCTCCCAAATGTCCCGGCCGCAACAACGCTTTATTGGTTCCGCTATCGGGACGGAACCAATGATGGCGAGCCGTTATTTTTTTTTATATATAAAAAAAAAATTGCCAATTCTAACGTTTTATTTAGATAACAAAAATAAATCGTGATAAAAATAATCCTATTTATGATGTTTTAAAAATAAAGACCTACGAAAGACTGATTTAAGACATTTTAATACCAATTAAGGCCTTAGTTTTATTTAGAAGAATTCAATGCCTTTTAAGACTTTTCAAGGAGCCGCAGGAACCCTGTGGTTACATGAATGGTTGGATGAAAGGATGAATATATGGATGGTTGGATGGATTGATTGAGGATGAATCGTTGGATGTTGGTTGGATAGATAGTTGGATGAATTATTGGATGGATGGCTCAGAGTTCTGGACTCTCTGCTCCGTTCTAACTGCTGGTTCTGATGGTTCTGTTGCATCAGAACCAGCCTGCAGGTTCTGATGATCCAGGAGATCCAGTCTGAACTGGTTTCCATCCTCTAGAACCAGTCTGACTCTCCACCACAGTGGCTCCGACCAGAACATCCCAAACCGGGCCCACTTGCCCCCACAGGTCCCCTAATCAGACCCGCTCCATCCTTAATTAACTTTTCACTTCATTTCCCCCCAGCTGTTGCTGTTCTGATAACGGTCCAATCAGCGCCACGTCCCAGAGGAAACCCTTCGCCCCTGCAGGAAGTCGCCCTGGCAACCCTCCCAGCGCCGCTCAGACTGCAGGTCCAAACCACTGGAGTTCTGAGGAAGTTACCCTGCAGGTCTGAAATAAACCCAAAGACAGGAACCAGAACCAGAACCAGAACCCCGCAGATGAGCTCATTCAGCTTAATTAACAGCTTTCATGAGGTCAGAATCATGACGGATGGTGGAAAGCTCCCACTCTGATCCGCTGCGCAAACAGTTGTAACCTCTCTGTGTTACCATGGAGACCGCAACACTTTAATTAGAAACATTTAATTAGAGCTCACAGTCCCCGCCTACGCAGCTTTATATATATTTGCTGAGCAGAAGCTGAGATCAGCTCGGCGGCCTGGTTGCTTCAGACGCTCGGAGGAGGAAGCGGAGGTCCACCACGGCGCGGTGGTTCCCTCTGAGATGGTCAACAGAAGCAGATGGGATCCAGCAGGATCCCTGCTGCGCCCTCTGCTGGTCACTGCCAGCAGCACGCCTCATTGACACCCGGCAACTCAAAAACGGTTCAAACAATAAACTGCTATGACCTCTGACCTCTACCTGTACGCGCAGACAGAACCTGCTTACCTCCAGCTGATGTGTGTGCTCTTCCTGCAGCCTCTGCAGGTCCTCCTGATGCTGGGCTGCGTTCTTCTCCAGGCTCTCCTGCTCACACAGAGGAACACAAACATCTGAGCTTTACTGACCCCACTGCAGATTCAGAGGGGCTGGATCGAACCTGCTGCTTCTGCACCCACCTCAGCCTCCTTCAGGCGCCTTTCGAACCATCCCTTGGTTCCCTCCATGGCCTGAACCTGAGCCTGCAGCTCCTCCACCTGCGGCTGCAGACCCTCCAGCTCCTTCGCTCGGGCCTGGAAACCAAATCTGCATCTTTACATCCTTATTCCGACCAGCCGGAAGGATCTAGCTGCTCCCGGTTCTGAACCCCAGCAGTTCTCCTCCAGGGGGGTCGTTACCTTCTCCTCCCTGAGCTGCTGTCGGATCTCCTCCTCAGAGCGGCTCTTCTCCTCGTGCAGAACTCGCAGCTCCTTCTCATAGCGAGCCCGGACACCCAGAACCTGAGGGAGGAGACGGTTTATTCCTGCTTGTTCTTCTCTAGAAGCTGAGCTGGGTCAGAACCTCAAGCAGACTCACCTCCTTCTCATGCTGCAGTTTGAGGTCGGACAGCGCCTCCTTGTGGTCGGACTTCACCTGGTGAATCTGTGTGGCCATCTCGTCCAGCATGGTCTTCCTCTTCTCCGCCGTCTGCCCGCAACAAGCATGCGTGAACACATCTGTCCTATTTTGCTAGTAAAGCGAGGACCGTTTGTTCTGTGTGTTTTGTACCTTTTTGGCCTCGTCCAGCTCCCGTAGCAGCCGCTCCTTCTCCTGCCCTTCCTCTGTCAGCTGCTCCAGCAGCTTCCTGTTGGCGAAGCTCGACTCCTGAAGGCAGAACAGAAACGTGTCTGATGGGCCGGGCCGGGTCAGAACCCTGCGTGCCTCTATCAGCGTACCTGCAGCTGAGAGTTCAGGTCGTCTCTTTGGGCCAGCAGGACCTCCTGTTCTGATCGGTTCTGCTGCAGCTCGGCCGTCAGCGCCTCCTGCTGCTCCCTCAGCAGGTTCATCTCCACCGTCTTCGCCGTCTGGATCTGAAAACAGTTTAACCGATTTAGTCGGGACAAAGGTTCTGGCAGAACTAGCAAGGTGCAAGATCAGAACCAGGAGCTGAACACGCAGGTTGGATGGAAGAAGAGGAGAGTTTTAGAGCCCTGGGTTCTGTCTGACCCGCTGGGACACCATGACCCAAACGTATGCTGGTGAAGATTCTTAATTTCAGCTTCCATAAACCCTCCAATGCAGCGATAGAGTTGATTCCTTCCCGCTATCATCGCAGCTCCAACCACTTTACAGGAGAACAGAAGACCTCACCTGTTCATCCAGGCTAACAATTCCCTCTAACGACCCAGAGACATAGACAGGTATGGGGCATTGCAGGCTAACAAAGAAGCCAAACGACCCCCATTCCAAAGGGGGGGACCCGTTCATCCGTTTCTATTTGCATGTTTTCTAAACTAAAACCAGGCTTTGTTGGGCTGCTGGATAAAACCTGGAACTAAACGCTATTTCTGACATTTGGAATTGAAAAATCTTCCTGGATGGAAGAGAAACGTCTTCAAACTTGGAAACAAAGTCCAGATGATTGATTTTAACCTTTTTGGAATGAACCAAACGCTACCGGTACAGGTTTTGCTTAATCCTTGGCCTAAACCGAGGCTCCGACTGCAGCGAGAAAAACCACCTTCTTCAGCAGAAACTTGTTTTCTCTGGTTCCAGGAACCAAACCGGATCCAAAGACCCAGTTTCCCCTGGTTCTAAACAACATTCTAGATAGTTCTAGATATTATCTCTGGAGCCTGATCTGGTTGTTCTTACAGAACTGATGGAACGATAAGGTTCTTCCTGGTTCTGGCTGAAGGGTAGTGATGCTGAGATGAAGCCTCATGAGGCGTTGAACCGTTTGGCCAATTTGCTTTAAAGATCCCCACAGTTCATGAGGCTTCATGTTGCCACCTACTGGTGAAAAGCAGAACTACACTTAGTAATATAATCTGTGATTTTTTTTGCAATTGTTTTACCTTTTTTTTTTACATTTAAGTTCCTTTGAAAATTTTAATGATTGGTTGTATAATAATATCTTTTTGTGTGTAGAATGTCTTAGAAGAGAACAATCATTTCAGGTTCACTGTGTTTCTGTCATTTTAGATAAATAAGCTAAAGCAAACAGTGGAAGTGTTCAAATTGGGCAACGGTGAGCAAAATGAAATGTGTTAGAAATTTTTATTCAAACTTAATAGTTTTTCCACAGTTTCAATCTTCAATCAATCGTTTGGCTAAACCTACCAATCTAACTTTGGCTGTGTTTTTAATTAATCTATATTTGAACTGAAGCAAACCAATACAAATTATTTTCAATTCAATTCAGTGATGTTTATTTCTATAGCGCCAATTCCCATCATGTCATCTCAGGTCACTTTCCAGTTCACCAGATCATCCAGTCACATTGATTCAAAGTTTTCTATCTAAGGAAAACCAGCTGATTGCTCAGGGAATTTAGTCACATTAGCCAAAATACTTGTGTCTTATCGCAACTTTTAAAAGTCTGAGGTGGGATTCGAACCAACAACATCAGGATTAGAACTCCATGTCTTAGAGCCGATGCCATTAGCAAGTTAACTGAAAGCAATCCTACTCAACACTCTAACCAGTGGTCTGCTCAGATTTTAATCATTACATTGTTTAATCTTACCAAACTAGTTTTAAGCAACTAGATTGTTTTTGTTCCAACCAATCTATTCTTAGAATCTATCCAAACTCTATCCAACTAACAGAAACTCTCCTACAAACTCCCACGTCTTGACTGAACGCTGAGGCTGTTCGAAGTTATGGGCGATCTGAACCACTTCCTGATGCGGAAACGTGGTCTGGTGGGGTAGCGAGGCTTCGGACGTCATCTATTTTGGCTCCTCCCCTTAACGAAGCAAGCCTCGATACGCGCCTTGATGGAAACGCCCCCTCCACTGCTCGACACTCCTGGGGTTCCTCAGGCAGCTCGGTGCTATATACACCCAAGCTTCTGGACGTTCTAGATGAAGTTGAATTGAAAAAGCTGCAGGTTTCAGTCAGAGCCTGAAGTTCCCTGTAGAGTCTGGGTTCCTCTAAAGGTTCTGACTGGGTTGATGGCGCGTTCAAAGACGGTGGGACGTTCTCTGCAGACGTGGTTTAGTTACCTGTTCCAGAGCGGCCAGGTTCGTCCTCAGAGCGTCGTTCTCCTGCAGAACGTTGTCCACCTGCTCCTGACTGGCCGCCTGCAGTACCGCCAGGCCACAGGCAGGGGGCAGCAGATGGACAGAAGCCAACAGAATCGAGGAAAGGAGAACAAAGAGTGAATGCAGCGAGAGAAAGAACCGAGCAAACATAGAACCATAGGAGACGAGCAGAGCAGAGAACCAGGAGAACGCTAACAGAACATTAGCAGAACATAAACGGGCCTCTTTAAAACCACAGGTGGTGAATCTGAGGTAGAAGCGACAGAAGAGAGCAGCCGTGCAGCTCCAGGTTCCTCTGAGGCGGCCTCACCTGTTCCTTCAGGGTCTGCAGAACCACTTCATGCTCCTTGTCTTTGTTCTGCAGCTGCTCTCTCAGCTCCGCTGTCGCCTGAACACAGAACAGAATCTGTTCTTTCTGGTCCCAGTTTTTAAGTTTGGAACTAAAGACGCTTCCTGATGTGGTCACATGGTCTGCTACTGAGCTCTCACCTGATTGGCTGCTGCCAGGTCCGACTGCAGCTTCTGCAGGCGGACGTTCACAGCCTTCAGGTCTTCTTCCTTCCTCTGGTTGATCTCGTCGATCTTTGTCCTGCAGAGAAAGACAGAGCAGGTCAGCACCATGGACAGAACCCTCTGTTCCTGTAGGACAGAAACTAGGGAAGAATTCAGTGAGTCACTCAGGGCCGTGAACTCGTCCCGTTTCCATTTGGTGGGTTTTTAAACAATAATTTAGATTTCAATACTTTTATTCAAAACTTTTTTAAGTGTCTTTCTAAAGAGATATTCATCCAAAGGTATATTTATTGATTTATTCTGAGCACTACTTTTTACCCGCTGATCACAGCTAATCTAGCAAAGCTGCTCTCTAGCATTGAACCGGTTCTGACCTGCTGTCGTTGTAAAGAACCTCCTTCTCCGTCTGAAGACGCTGAAAACTGCAGAAACAGAACAAACCACAGTAATGAAACTTTTGAGTACATTTTAGGTGTTTGAGGAAAGCCTGAATCAGCATCTGATGCCAGCGGTGATTATTAGCTGTGCTCTCACCTCTCCTGCTTCTTCTTTAACTTGTCCAGCAGCTGAAAGGCAAACACAGCAGAGATTTCTAAACATCTATCTTCTTTAGGAGGCTGCAGGCCTAATATCCGGATCTAAGGACTCACCTTGGTGATCTCCTCCTGTAGTTTGGAGATCTCAGCCTGTTTGGAGGCCTGGAGGAGGACAAAGGGGGGAGAAGATCAGGCAGAGGGTTTGGACCTTCATCAAAGCTCTTGTTCTCCAGAAAGATGGAGAAGTTCCTCATCTCTAAACCTTTCTGTGTGGCTGAGCAGTTCAGGAGAGCAGCGGAGGCTCCGGTTGAATGCTACAATTAACTAAAAAGCCCTGAAATATAAATCCACTCAGTTTATTTAAGCAAAGGAGCATCAAACCAGATGTTGTGAAAATTAATCACATTAAGCCTTAAAGAAATAAGATTAGCATCATAAAAATGATGCAAACTGTGAATATTCCTCGACCGTGTTGCCTAGTGAAGAAAAGTAGGTAAATTAAGCTCATAACTAACATAACAGGTGTGACAGTAAATTGATTTTTCCAACCAGTTTCCATTTATAATATGGCAATTAATCAATTTGATCTATGAATAAAATGTTCTGTTAATGAAGATTTTTCTTCCACCAGTGTCGACCTTCTGTAGCTCAGAGTTGCATCAGTTCATCACTTCTCTTTCTTAAATGTCTCCGAACTGATAAACCACCTGCTAACAACGGGTCTGTTATATAAATAATTAATTTACAAGTATCTTTCACAGCTTAATTTTCATCACCTCACTCTAGGGTGAGACGTGGTTTAACAGACCTCTCTGCAGCTTCTCTACTGTTACGACCATCTCTGGTCTGAGCAGCAGAAGCTGCTGGTTCATTGCTGAACTCAGAAATCAGGAGACAATAAAAAACTTTAAAGATTAAAAACTAGAAAGCCTTGTTTAACTGGAACCGTTTTACTGGTTTCACTATCAAACTGAGCATCTTTCTGCTAATCCTCACTTCCTCCTCAGGTTTAGGTCTAAGGTTTGAATCGAGCTCACGTTCTGGTTAGTTATCTTCTGGTAATGGTTGGGTTAGGGCATATAAAGGGTTAAAATGACAGAAAAGGTGTGTGTGTGTGTGTGTGTGTGTGTAGGACTACCTCCAGGCTGTGCACCTGCTCCCTCAGCAGCCTCTTCTCCTCCTGCTCCGTGTTCAGGGCCATCTCCAGTTCTGGTCCAAAGCAGTGAGTTATTGGACAGAAGGCAGCCGACCAGCCTACAGCTGCCTGCTTAGCTACAATCTTCTCTATGCTCTTCTCTGACCGGCCTGAAGGGGGCGCTACACACAGCAGGGGCACTCTATTAGGACGGACACACTCTACACCACACCTGTAGACAGCAAACGGGTCGACTCGGCGCTTCGCCTGCGGCCTGTTCAGGCTGCTTCGTGGCGCGTTCTGTGGCGCCATGTTATTTTGAACTTTGCTACCTTAAGCTGTATGATTTTTTGCCCTTTTTCGGGACGACTTTCAAGTCGTGCGAGAATTTTTTCGATTGAGCTGACTTTAAGCCTGATGGTGCGTTGTGTACACGAGGTAACGAGGGGCGATCAGCCTCACATGACCGCCTCCCGGTCAGGAATCGTAAGGTGCGGAGAAAATCAAACATGTTTGAAATGTAGTCGGCCCTTGTGAGGCGTTCGTTGAACATCGAGCATTTCTTCTTCCAGATTAACGTGCCCGATTAGTGCAATCTCTCCACACAGAGTCCAACGTGGTTTTTAGACGTACAGCGTTAGCAGGTCGATCGCATCGGTGTCGGGTCACACAGTCTGAGACCAAACATCATGAGCTGCGAACTTTTAAACCCTGCAGTTTCATGTTACAGTTGAGCTGTAGCTGCGTGCAACGATTGAAAATATCAATATCAGCTTCAGACGGTGCATTCAAAGGCAATCCGTTAATCTGAACTCCTTCAGGTGAGACCCTTGATAACTGCACCTTAAATGGCGCATCAATGAGGTTGAACGCCAGCTGAGGTGGTGCGTTCGCTGGCAGTATGGGTAGCGTGTGTCTGCCCCGGTCCAGCTCGCTGTTCTACGCTCAGACAGCAGGATCAGGTGGTCCAGGTGTGGACCTGGACCAGAGGAGAAGTGTTCTGCAGGTTCTCATCCATCAGTCTCATAGCACAAACATGACTTTTCTAGAGTTCAGAGTCCAGAACCTGGCGGTGTTCATGTCCTGGTTGCTCTACCAGCATGTCAGAGGTTTGAGGAGAAGGACCTGAAAGCTTCCTGTTCTGTTCCCAGACTGCATCTGGGCAGCAATGGATGCTCAGGAGGAGGGATTGCTGGTTCGAAGCTGCTGCTAAATTTAACTCAGCTGTTGAGCCATTGGCAGAGGTGGGTAGTAATAGTAACTAGTTATGTTTACTTCAGTAACTTGTTTTAAAGTACTTTTACTGCACTGTAATTTTTATTCGTAGTTGAGCTAAATTTCCTGCTGCTGCAGCTTCATGTAATGAAAATAAGCAGAAATGCACCAATGAGACGTCTTTTCTCTTCTCTACCAAAGGCTTATTTTCTCCGTCGGCGGAGTCATTTGGAAGTTAAAGGAAAAGTCGCTCATATTCAGAATCCAAACTTCTGAAAGTTCTTTAAATCTGAAATTTTTCTATGGCCAGAAATTCGATGGCAAATCCTCCCTCTTCAAGTTGGCGATCCAACGACCAACCCGTCCGTGGAGGATCAGGAATCAGAAAGGTGGAATAACTCTTTTATTCCACTTTTACCCGATGTATTCCAGCATCCAGCTGCCATGCACGTGGGCATTGTCAGTTTCACTATAGCTCTGGTGAATTTCAATGGTGAAGTCCTCTGGAAATCTTCAATAATTGTTGTTGATTGCAGATGTGTCTAGTAGTTCCCATTGATTTAGCTTGGAAAGCGGGGAGAATGGCGCTAGGCTTACCGCACCGTGACGTCACTGCTGGAAGATGGCAGGAGGGAGGGGCTACTATATTTGGGCAAAAATGGCCGCTCCCAGACTCAGTGATGACGACGAAAATTTTTTATTTTTTTTTTACGATTACCACTAAATTCAATAACTCACTGCGAACGTATTAGTTTTAGGTATAAATAAGGATCCATTGATTATTGATTGCTGACCGGACTTTTCCTTTAAGGTAAAATACGATAACAAGTTTATTATAAATTAAATCAGCTGTTATGATCAGTTACTTATTACTTAAATATCCTTTTTGGTACTTTTACTTGAGTAAAACTATGATGGAGTAGGACTCTTCTTTTTTTTTTTTGTCTACTCTATCAGCCAATTACAGTTCTCAGTAGAGACGTTGCCCCTAGCAACAGGGTCAACCCCACCTCCAGAATAAGGTCAGAGTTGTCTCCTCCTCAGAGTCTGATTCCCTCTTAAGGTGAACTAACAGACGATTAAGGCGGCGCCAGCAGAGAAACGGGTCCAGACGTTCCATCAGAACGGTTCTGAAGATGAACGGAGGTCGTTAATGTGTCACAGAGTTCCCGCCTCCCTATTTAAGGTCATGTTTGTGCTCTGAATTCAGACCAGAACCTTTCAGGGAGCTTCTGGGTTCGGTTCTGAACCGATGGTGTTCTGTTACAGAGTGAAGCCCGGTTCTGACAGCTGAACATTTCAAAGAATCAAAACAGAAAGAAGATGAACTGTTTGGTCTGAGAACATCAGGAGAACCAATGAAAGGAAGAATCACTTTCAAAGGAAAATTTAAATCATTGAGAGGTTCTGTTGTTCCCGTTAAGCAGGTCCATTTTTTGAGATGCCTTGATTTATTGTTCTCAATTCAGATTCCTTCCTGGTTCTCCTGATGGCCGACGGGTTCCTTCTCTAGTTAGAATGGAGACCTACGTTTGGTAGAAGTTCTACTAAAGACAAGGAGAGACACTCACCATGGAGACGTTCCTCCGCCTGTTGGAGCCCCGCCTGAGAACCACAGACACACAGATGAATGCATGTTTATGCAACATTTCAAACACATTTAGAACCCGTTTAATCCTGCCTTCAGAACCTGATATAGAATCACTTAAAACATGTAAAGAACATTTGTGTAGAATCAGTTAAAGGACACTGGGAGACCTTTATAAACAAACATTGTTCTAGTGGTTAGAGCAGTGCGCTTATGCTCTACGAAGGTTCCAAGTACCCGGTTCCATCCCCACAGCCTGGACTCTGGGTTCCTGAGCAAAACCATTAAAGTCGTAGGGAAGCGGCCGTTCCAACCGTTGCATTTCCGAATTCTCCCGAGTGAATAAAGTGAATGTGATTGGTCGATTATCAAGGGGGCAGTTTGGTTGTGGCCGGTTTGTGGGAAGCATCTTGCTAACCAGTTAGCATCTTAGTGCTAGCAGGTTCCCAATGGGAAATTCCATTGGGAACAAGTAGCACTAAATTGGTGACTTAGAAACGACGCTGTCAAGGAACGCTATGGACAGCGGAAACATGCAAGAGGAGGAGAGTTTAGTGTCAAAGGTCGTGGATGAGTCTCCTCCGTCATCCATGTTTTATTTAGAGGAGGAAAGCGGGGACGAAGATGTTGTGGAAGAGGACGCCAGGGCGGCAGAAGCTTGGTTTGGTGTAGAAGGCTTCCAGCCGTACATGTTTGAGCCCTTGCCTCGCAACGCTGCCAGTTCTGTTAGCTCTACGCCTGCCGAAGACACAGACGTCCATCCCCGTGAACACTGGGACGCAACTCAATGGGACAGGAAAGGATTCTGATTTCAACCGTTGCGTATATTAGCTGCGACACATGAATCAAGATGCTATGACCGAAAACATGTGATTGACAGATGACCGTTGATATACAGGTGCTGGTCATAAAATTAGAATATCATGAAAAAGTAGATTGATTTCAGTAATTCCATTTAAAAAGTGAAACTTGTATATTATATTCATACATTACATACAAACTCATATATTTCAGATGTTTATTTTGTTTAATTTTGATGATTACAAATGACAACAAATGAAAATCTCAAATTCATCATATCAGAAAATTAGAATATTGTGAAAAGGTTCAAAATTGATGGCCCCTGGTGCCACACTCTAATCAGCTAATTAACTCAAACCACCTGCAAAAGCCTTTAAATGGTCTTTCAGTCTAGTTCTATAGGCTACACAATAATGGGGAAGACTGCTGACTTGACAGTTGTCCAAAAGACGACCATCGACACCTTGCACAAGGAGGGCAAGACACAAAAGGTCATCGCTAAAGAGGCTGGCTGTTCACAGAGCTCAGTGTCCAAGCACATTAATAGAGAGGCGAAGGGAAGGAAAAGATGTGGTCGAAAAAAGTGTACAAGCAAGAGAGATAACCGCACCCTGGAGAGGATTGTGAAACAAAACCCCTTCAAAAATGTGGGGGAGATTCACAAAGAGTGGACTGCAGCTGGAGTGAGTGCTTCAAGAACCACCACACACAGACGTATGAAAGACATGGGTTTCTGCTGTCGCATTCCTTGTGTCAAGCCACTCTTGAACCACAGACAGCGTCAGAAGCGTCTTGCCTGGGCTAAAGAGAAACAGGACTGGACTGCTGGTGAGTGGTCCAAAGTCATGTTCTCTGATGAAAGTAAATTTTGCATTTCCTTTGGAAATCAAGGTCCCAGAGTCTGGAGGAAAAGAAGAGAGGCACTTCATCCACGTTGCTTGAAGTCCAGTGTAAAGTTTCCACAGTCAGTGATGGTTTGGGGTGCCATGTCATCTGCTGGTGTTGGTCCATTGTGTTTTCTGAGGTCCAGGGTCAACGCAGCCACATACCAGGAAGTTTTAGAGCACTTCATGCTTCCTGCAGCTGACCAACTTTTTGGAGATGCAGATTTCATTTTCCAACAGGACTTGGCACCTGCACACAGTGCCAAAGCTACCAGTACCTGGTTGAAGGACCATGGTATCCCTGTTCTTAATTGGCCAGCAAACTCTCCTGACCTTAACCCCATAGAAAATCTATGGGGTATTGTGAAGAAGAAGATGCAATACACCAGACCCAACAATTCAGAAGAGCTAAAAGCCACTATTAGAGCAACCTGGGCTATCATAACACCTGAGCAGTGCCACAGACTGATCGACTCCATGCCACGCCGCATTGCTGCAGTAATACAGGCCAAAGGAGGCCCAACTAAATACTGAGTGCTGTACATGCTCATACTTTTCATGTTCATACTTTTCAGTTGGCCAACATTTCTATAAATCCTTTGTTTTTATTGGTCTTCAGTAATATTCTAATTTTCTGATATGATGAATTTGAGATTTTCATTTGTTGTCATTTGTAATCATCAAAATTAAACAAAATAAACATCTGAAATATATGAGTTTGTATGTAATGTATGAATATAATATACAAGTTTCACTTTTTAAATGGAATTACTGAAATCAATCTATTTTTTCATGATATTCTAATTTTATGACCAGCACCTGTATGATTGGCCGAATTTAGGTGTTCAGGCTGACGTAGAACTAACTGGCCTGCAGAAGATAACGGGAAAAAAAATGATTTTAAGACAGGATTTTTTTTTAAATAGAAATTTTCTAAATTTAGAACAATATCATCTGATAAAGAGAACATTTATATACATGTTTAAGCCAGAATGATTTTACATTTAAATATAATTTCCATACGACTTTAACCCCACGCTGCTCTCCGGGCGCGGCACAATGGCAGCCCACTGTTCCCCAAGAGGACGGGTTAAATGTAGAGAGTGAATTTCTCTAATGTGAGATCAATAGTTAAATTATTATTAATTATTTAGAACATGTTTAGAACCAGTTTGAACCCATCTGTAGAAGCTGTTAAACACGCATAGAACGCGTGTTTAGAACCTACTGGCACCAGTGTTGTAGTACTCGAGATCGGTCTCGGTCTCGTCTCGGACTTGACCGCATTTGGTCTCGGTCTCGGGGGCTGAGGACTCTGCATTTTATTTCAAGACCGGTCAAGACCACATCTGTGGAAATAACTCTAATCATCAGAATATTATCAGTTTCTTTAAGATCCTTCTTTTTTTTTGGATGCTTGGATTCAAATCCAAGCAATAACCTGTCTCATTGGTAAATGCAGTGAAGGAGATCAATCTATTTTTTCAACAAATTATCTCATAACATATTTCACAACTTGGTGACAGATATAGATTTATTTAAGAAAAGTTATATAATATAGCTTTAATCTGTATATGAGAGAGAAACGAGAGAAATTATTGGCTTTTTTTCAGTTTTACACATTTTACAGAATTTTGCACATTGTTTTGAAATAGCACATTTTAAAAACAACATAAATGTTCATGAACGGCAGAGAAAATACTATTTTCATCGACTTTGATTAATTGTTTGAAATTCTGTGATTACTACACAGAAGTACTAAATAAAGATGTTAATGTTTAGTCCAGTTCTGTGTTAAATATCTAGGTGTTTTTATGTGAATGTGGGTCTTTTACATCAATTTTTGTGATTTTGATCATGTTTCACATTTTATTGTCACATACTGGCGCTGGTCTTGGTCTTGTCTTGGTCTCGGGTTAGGAGATCTTGACCACAACACTGACTGGCACCACACGTCTCTTTAGATCCTGTTTTGACTTTCTAAACTTTCATTAGAAATTTTTTACTCAAATGAACTTGATGGTTAATTTAATGCTAAATTCATTATAAAACTGCAAACGTATTAGTTTTAGGAATAAATAATAATTCACTGATTATTCCTTGCTGACCAGACTTTTCCTTTAAGATGTGGGAGCAGATTTAGAACCCCATTAGAACTCTTTGTAGAACCTATTTTTAGAAATTGTTGCACATTTAGAGCTGGTTCAGAATCGGTTTTTACCGTGTTTTAGAAACCTGTTTGTAGAACCTGTCTGGGGAACCTGGACAGGTTTAGAACCTGAAGAGGAACTGTTAGAGCAGATTAAGAAGATGTTTAGAAGCAGTTATTAGAACTTGTTGGAGGTTTATAACCTGTCTAGAACTTGTTTTAGAGTCTGTTTGAAGAATGCTTTGAAGAATTAGTTGGAACCTGTTTTTTAAAACGTTTAGATACAAAATTAGAAGCTGTTTAGCCTCTTAACATCCCCCCCATTTTGGGAAATTCTCGCCTATTTTGCAAACCAAAAAGCAAACAACTTAGGATCTCTAAGCCCAAATAACGTGTGATGCATTATTTGAAGGCTAACACCTTCTAGCTTCTGAATTTGAAATGAAAATTGGGTGAGAACAAAGCCCAAGCTGCATCAGTTCAAACATGACTCAAAGTTGTTTTTTATTCTTGAAAATAATAAGTCTTATTTGAACAGCGGTTATAAAGACCTGCTTGCTTGTTTTGGCTTCTTTGCCATGTTTACATGTTGACTTGCTTTGTATCGGTGTTAATTGGTGTTTTTTTGGTGTGTCCATTAAATGAACTAGGTGGTTGAATTGTGGAGAATCTAAGCTTTCCAACAATGTCTAACATCTATATTGGTAAACATTCATTCTGAGTTATTAGTTGTAAACGCTTTATAACGGGTCGCGGGCGGCGCGGTGGGATTTGAGAGGTTAGAACCCATTTTGGACCCATTTCTAGAACCCTGATCAGATATCTAACAGAAAGTTCTGGTCTTAAACTGCATCGTCGTCGTTCTTTGGGTCGGATTCTGTTTGCAGATTCGGTTCCTCCTCAGGTTTGGGTCAGAGAACCGTCAGCCGGGTCAAACAGAACCAGCACAGGTGACTCACCTGTCCCTCCCTCTGATTGGTTCCTTCTGCTGCCGCCTCTTCGCTGCCAGCAGAGACATCAGAGACTCCGTTGGTGTCAGCCGACCCCTCCGTCTCCGTGGTAGCTCTCTGGTTGCCGTGGGAGACAGCCTGCCTCTGCAGCTCCCTGTCGAAGTTCTCCTGAACAGCTGCAGAGGAAGAGGAGCTCTGAAAGGTTTGGTGAGGATTTAGGAGCGCTGCTCCTCACCCTGCTGAGGCTCCGGCCACATCTTCTAAACCGTCCGTCTCCACCTGATCCCTCCATCAACCCACCTTTAAGTTTCTTCTGCAGGGCGGCGTTCTCTGCCTGGAGGCGGAGCAGCTCTCCGTCCGCAGGGCAGGAGGCGGATTTAGCAGGCGGGTCGGAAGCAGCGGCTCCTCCGCCTTCCTTCATGCTCCGGTTCTCCTGCTCCAGCTGCTCGATCTGCGTGCACAGCTGGAGGAGCAGGACGCTGTTAGAAGGTGAGCTGGATTTAAAGGCGGAAGCAACTGAAGGAGCGCAGACCTTGGAGAGCTCCGCCATCAAGGTGCTGTTCTGCAGCCGGAAGTCCTCCTCCTGGCTGTGCAGCTTCCCCTGCAGCATCTCATTCTCACTCAGCAGCGCGTCCACCTCCTGCAGCAGAACACAACAGGAACCACTGAGGCAGCTCTGATGGTAAATCGGTAACCATAGCAACCTGGAGCTGGACTCACCTGAGCTTTTTTGCTTTTACTCAAAGCCTGAAGATGAAATAAAGACAAGATCAGCAGCTGAAGCAGAAGGAGCACAGACCGACAGATTTACCAACCGTCACCTTCTGAGCTTTGAGCAGATCTCTCTCCTGAACGCCGAGCTTCAGTCGAACGGCGTTCAGCTCTGAAACAAAGAACCAGATTTTAGAGGCAGCTTTGAGGGAAACCCTGGATGGAACCTCCTAAAGAACCAGCTGAACGTAGAGAAGCTGAACATGGTCCGCATGAAGCAAAGATATGAGGTTCTAACAGGGTTCCTTTCTCCGGACCAGAACACGCAGGGAGCCGTGCTGCTCCTGCTGCCGGTTCTGCTGCAGAACCATCAGAGAAAAGACCAAACAAATAAAGGTCATGACCCAGAACCAGTCGGATTTTTGGAAGGAATGAAGGACTCTTGATTGGAGGTCTTCAACAGGGGGTCTGCAACCTCTAGTGGTCCACGGAGGTACTGCATGGGGGTCGCAAAAGTTTTGGTTGATTACTTTTTTTTTTTTTTTTATATCCCCCCCCTGCAATTATTTTCAGTATTTTCACGACCATAAGGCGCACCGTACTAAAAGGCGCAGTCTCAGTTATGTGTGCCATTACTGTATTTAACACACACATAAGGCGCACCAAACTATAGGGCGCGTTTTTTATATACCGGTACATGTCCTCTACTACGTTTAAATAGCTCTACTGCGTATTTAAAACTAGAGCAGGAGCAAAACTGAGTATGATTGTGCTTTATTCATGTATTTATTACAAAGTATTAATCAAACCTGGGAGACAGACACATCGCTGATGATCAGAGCGCTGTGATCACTCCTCTGAAACAGTTTATTGACGCATAAATTAACTTAAAATGCACCTGCCGCGGTGAACTGCTGCAAGGCAGAGAAAGGATAGAGTAGCTCCACCCAACGTGCGTCAGACACACTTTTGCACCGCGCAGCCAGAGCAGCAAAGCTGCTTCAGCTGCGCGTCAGAACTAACTGGTACAAGCAGCAAAAAGGAAGCAGCAGACGCGATTTTGCTGCTCTTGCTGCGTCCGGTGTGAACGCAGCCTTACTTTGAACGTCCGGTTCACACCGATGTCGAGCGGTTGAAGTTCTTTTGTCAGACCTCTCATAATAACGGCGAGCACAGCGTTCATTTGTTTCACCATGTTTTTTACATCGGCTGTGAGATGGGCACGCATGGAGTCACAGATTAACAGCGATGGTGATGCGTGGAAAAAAAAACACCTGGTCTCCTTACATTCACCTCCCTCAGCCACTCTTTCATCATCTCCTCAAGGAGATGAGGAGTTCTGCATAAAGCACATACCTGTTCTTTTATACACAATCCACGCCCACACCTCCCTCTTTAACGTTCTCATGGTGGTCTCAAAAGTCTGCAGTAACAACACACATAGGACGCACCGCACATTTTGAGGGAAAAAAGACGCTTATATGCGCCTTATAGACGTGAAAATACAGTAATATGAATTCCACAGACTGTAGTAAACAGATAAATGGAGGCAGAAGATGTCTTTCAGTCATCAATCAAGCTGGACACCGTTTCATTCACAACACCTGTCCCATCAACCCGGAATCAGAAATACTTTAATAATCCCAGGGAGGGATTACTTTAGTTACATTACTCCATCTGTAACATAGTGACTTTAGGAGCAGTTTGATAGAACACTATTTTATACAATATATATAATTAGGGGGCCCCGCTCCACCTCGTCATCAGTTTGGGGTCCTTGGCCTGGAAAACTTTGAAAACCCCTGGCTTAGATGAAGGACAGGACGATGTCCTCTGAACAGACGTTGGACACAGAACAGCCACTAAGTTTAAAGCATGCCGGTGGAGGACTCATGATGTGGGCTTTTTCTGTCTTGGACACCATAGTGGGAAAAAAGTGTTCAACTATTTCACTCAGTCGGCACTTTATTTTGATCTTTCCAGTGAGAGAACGGTTCATCATACATGGTAATCAGCCCTGTTCTGCCTGAGCAGCGTTCATTCCTCCTTACTTACAGCAATGGGAAGCAGTCAGAGTCAAAACAAATTACAGACACTTTGGTTAAACAGCAACATGTTATGAATAAACCTGGAGAAAGAATCTGGCTTAATATGGGAAGAAGGTACGTCTGGTCTAAAAACACAGTGTGGCCTTACAGGTGAAACAGGCTGTGTGAAAACTTTTTAGTGAGTGAATTTTCCGACCACAAAAGCCAGGGACGAAGTATGGAGGTTACCTGCAGAGTTCTTCCTGAGGTCGTCGGACAGCTGGTAGTTCTGGGTCCGCAGCTCCAACAGCTGGGCCTGAATAAACAGAGAAAGAGAGAACGTCCTCAGTGACCCCATTAGCCACAACATCTGGAACATCTGGAGAGGTTCAACCCCGAACCAGTTAAGGGTTCCCGTAATGGCGGCTTGCTGAGAGGACGCACTCGCTTTGGTTCCGCTACCTTTCTAAAGAATCCTGGAAAATACTCGTTACAAGTGACACTGAACTTAAAACTAGGGATGCACGATATTGGGATTTTGGCCGATATGCCGATATTTTAAAACTCATGTAGCCGATAACCGATATCGATACCGATGTTAAAGCTGGACAAAAATAAGTAGTCATTGAAAATAGCAGTTTTGTTATCCATTTCTGACACTTTGAAAAATAATATACTCAAATATATTTTCATATGCTGATATCAAATTGATTTTTAAAAACGCGGTATCGATCTATTTTACTTGCAAAATCTGGTGAAATTTCATCGTTCTGTTACAAACTCTCGTGATATTTTGCAAATTCTTGTGAGATTTTGTTAGTAAAATAGATCGATACCGCGTCAATATATCAACATATAAAAATATGGCAACATTTGGTGAAGTTTCGGGGGATTTCGTAGCATAACGATGACATATAGCAATATTTCATTAGTAAAAGAGATTGATATGGTGTTTTTAAATGGCAATATATCAGCATATGAAGATATTGGGATATTTTAATGTAGCAATATTTTTTCCCTCGTCTTTAGAAGTTTTTAAGTCTGTAAAAAAGAAGTTTTTGAGGAAGAAAAAGAAGTAGTATTTTTTTTTTTAGACTTTAGAGACTCAGAAGTAGGGATGGGGATCGTTAATATTTATTGATATCGATACCTTTATCGATAGTCCTTATCGATCCGAGTCTTTATCGATACCACTATCGATACTTTTCTGTTATTTGGTGGAAAGACGATGCAACAAAATTTTTTTAACAGAACTGGTATTGCTTTTATTGCTTAACAAGTGAGCATAACAAAAACGTTTCTAGCCTTCAATAAACATGGCTAATGTAATAGGCCACTTCGAAATGACATAAAACTAACTAGAATATATTTTCACAATTGTTGGTTAATGTATTGTCTACTGTCAGTTTTCATCATGTTTTTAGTGATTAGGAAAATATTTAACAAATAAATAATTGTATTTTAAATTAAATGTAATTTTTAATAAATGTTGGCATCAGTAGTTTAATTATATATCAGGGGAGGATCTAGGATTCTAGGAGATCAGGGGCTTAGCCCCGAGGGTGAAGATGAGAGAGTAGACTTTCTTCTAAATCCCGTTCTAATGTAAAATATGACAGATTACTGGATTAAAGAAATTTCTACTATACTACATGCTATCACACATAACAATTCCCCCTCGATTACATGGGAAGAAATGAATTCACCTGCAAGTCTTTAACTGTGTTTATCCCTCTCTTCATCAACAGCAAACTCTGTGGATTTGGTCAAATTTGATCATTATTTGACAAAGTTATCAGAGGGAAATCATATATTTTAGCCGCCTGATAGAATCCGTTTCCCCATAACATGGGAAAAAAAATAAACAAATCCAATGAAACTGTCATTATTTTCATATATCATGTTTAAAACATTTATTATTTTATATTTTTAAATCCAAAATAGTTGTTGGATTATCTTTATTTAATGTATTTTAATTCTTAATACCAAATGTCTGCAATAGCATTGCTCCAGACATTTGGAATTAAGAAACATCTTCAAACTTGGAAAACAAAGTCCAGTGGTTTTGGTTTGAATATTTTTTTTTTTGGAATATTTATGAATTGTTAGATAAACATTTAAACAGAAAATATATTTCATAAGGATAATCAAAGGGGGAACGGATTCTATCAGGGGGCTAAAATATACGATTCCCCCCTCATAACTTTGGCAAATAATGATCAAATGTCACTAAATCCAGAGGATTTGTTGTTGATGAAGAGAGAAATAAACACAGTTAAAAATGTGCAGGTAAATTAATTTCTTCCCATGTTACGGAGGAGGAACAGATTATTTCAGGCAGCTGAAACATCAAGTCTCTCCTCCTCCCGTATCTTTGGGAAGTAAAAAGCATCTGTTTCCAGATTCTCAAAAATTGTTTGTGTGATATCATGTAGTAAACTGGGAATGTCCTTAATCCAGTAATCTGTCATATTTTACATTAGAACGGGATAAATCAGAAAGTCTACACTCTCATCTTTTCAGGAATATTTGTGTCCTGCTATCAGCCAGTTTCCATCCTCTGATATCAGCAATGAAAAATGATTAATACTCACTACTGTTGGAAAACTGTTTGGTGACTGACTTTTATTTCTGTCAGGTTTAAGTGACAGAAGTTGGAAAAAAGACGATTTTCTTGGCGTTTAAAATAACACAAAATAGTTTTAAAGCTACTCGTCTATTTATTAATTTTACAATTTTGTAAACAACAGCTGCTGATTAAACTGGATGTTGCAACCGTGACATGATTATAGCTGATTTTAGCGAGAAATCGATCAGACGCGTCGTGAAAATGGTCCCATCCGCCATGTCCGCCTCTCTGGCTTCAATGCGATTCCCGAAATAAGGGGAACAGAATTTCATACACCACCGGGACAAACAACGTCTGGAAGTCAGTCAGAGCTTCACATCCCTGGAACATCAGTCTGTTTAGCAACAGCCATTGGTGAGAACTTCTTCTTCTGCACTGGAATGCTACGGGCTGCTTTCCTGCCTTTGCTGCCACCATCCGGTGAAATCCAGTACTGCACATTTTACTCAGATCAGCTCAGAAGCGAGAACCGGGGCTCTAGGGGAAACATCCGGGGCTGCAGCCCAAGTAGCCGCCCCCTAGATCCGCCACTGTTATATATTCTAAAATAGTTAGAGCAATATACAACTGTATTACTCATGTTTCTCGCCAAAAACTAAATTTCCCGTTTTCTTTACGTTACACTTGAACGCATCATGATAAGTTAAGTGCCAGTTCTCTTGTTTTACTTTTAATATCTGTTTGCTTACAATTTCATTCCAAAACATTGGTGGACATGCTGCAGTCATTGGATTGATTAGATTTAAATGCTGTGACGCGACTCGAGGGACACACAATTATGTTACAGGACCTCCGGGAGAAAAAAAAAAAAACGACCAGACTCGATAGTGGTATCGATAAGCCCAAACGTTATTGATTTTCGGGTTTTGAAAAAAGTGGAACCGGGTCCTTGATGGAACCGGGTTTCGATCCCCATCCCTACTCAGAAGCTGATCAAATATCGGTGGGGTGGCCGATGTCCGATATTCAGTTTTAAGGCCGATACCGATAGGGGGCCCATTATATCGTGCATCCCTACTTAAAACAACTGTGATGCCTCTCTCACAAAGGAAGCCCAGCAACTCGACTCAACCGAAGTTATCCGACTTCACTTCTAAGGTGAGCTCTGAAGCGAGCCGTGAAAACGGCGAGGCTAACACCACCGCATGCGAACCAATGGAGGAGTTGAACGTGAAGAATAAGTTGGTGGAAGCTGGTTCAGAGGCAATACTGGCCGCAATTACAAATTTGAAATCAGACTTCTCCTTCAAACTGGATGGCATTCTGTTAAAAACTATTTGGGATCATCTTTTGAAAGACAGAAAAACCATATGGAAGTAAATATGTGTCGCTGGGATTTGAATTAAAAATGCCACTGAAATGTAAATGTTGTATGTTTATACTTACTGTTTCAGTGTTAAAATATATTTTAGCTTGCATGACCGCTAACGCTAACTCAACTACAGAAAAATGAAAGTAATAAACTCACCGTTGAGTTAGCGTTAGCTTGCATGGCCGGCTCCGTCATGCTGGTTTTCCTTCCGTATGAGCGCCACAAGCGTCACGTCACGTGACTAAGAAAACGTAACGGGATTGGCTGGGTGTTGGACGCCACAATCCATTGCTAATGTCTGTGACCTGAAGTAACCCTTCCCTTTTTACACTGAATTTAGACGCCGAATTTAAGACGGTGAAATAGAGCCAGTTGAATCTCAGGAGGCTGAAAATATTGAGTTTGAATTTTTTTACATGCAGATTTTTTTTAAACTGAAAAATAAGTATTGAAAATGTAATCACTTTGAAATAGTAATGTGAATTTTTAGCTTGAAGAGAAAATAACAAATGAAATTTTAACTGTGTAGAAATAATGACAATGAAATTTTTTTAGGTCAAAAATGTGTTCTGAATATATTTTAAGACTGAAACAGTAAATACAAACATACAACATTTAAATTTCAGTGGCATTTTTAATTAAAATCCGAGCGACAGATTTACTTCCATAAAACCATTATTGTTGGAACTTCTCCTGTTTTTTAGGGGGATTTGGGTTGTGGGAATATTTCTGTTTTTGTTTGTTTTGTCTTTCTTTTCTCATAAGCTCTGCATGTAATAATTGTTGCTCTAAAATATCCTGTAACAACCTGCCATACGAGAAGGGACAAGTTGAATGTTGGACTACAGTCAACTACCCTGAACTTTTCCTTTAATATGAGAGGATACTTATGTTCAGTAGAAGTACTGTTAAAATCAATAAGATAATGTTGGGGGGGCCCTTATTTTCAGCGGCCCTAATCATCTTCCCTACTTTTATTTTCAGTGGCCATCCCAGGATGTTCAGTGGCCCCATCTGCCCCCCCTGTGGAACATCTCTGGAGGAGCCCCAGTCTTCTTCGCCTCCCTTTCACTTCATCATCACTTCACTACTTTGACTTTCATTTCCCTTTTTCTATAAAAGTCAAACAAAGTGCGAATGTTCTGGAAGTTAGGAGAACAGTTAAACTATCAAAAAAGAATTATTGGAGAAGTTTTTGTAGTACAATTGGAATGGACGTTAAAATAAATGAGATCTGGGGAATGATTAGAAAGATGGGAGGAATTAGAAGGGATTTTTCTTTACCTATAATTAAAGATGATCAGTGTGAAGCTATAACAAACAAGGAAAAAGCAGAGATGTTTGCAAGGTCCTTTGTGAAGGTGCATAGTTCAAAAAATTTATCAAATGAAGAATTATCATGGAGATTGGAAATGATTGAAGATAATAGAGAAATTTTAAATAGAAAAGAGATTGATGGAAGTATTTTAGATAAAGAATTTACATTGTTTGAAATGAATAGAGCATTGATAGGAGTTAAAAATACATCTCCAGGTAAAGATGGTATATGTTATAGGATGATTGAACATTTATCAGATGATGCTAAAGGAATAATTTTAAAGTTATACAATAAAGTATGGAAACAAGGTGAATTGCCCTTAAGCTGGAAGCATTCAATCATTGTACCAATATTAAAGCCAGGTAAGGATAAAGGAGAGGTTAAAAGTTATAGGCCTATAGCTCTTACTTCTAATTTATGTAAATTGATGGAGAGAATGATAACTAGGAGATTAATGTATGAAATAGAAAAAAGAGATCTTTTATCCCCTTATCAGAGTGGTTTTAGAAGTGGACGGACAACAGTAGATCCAATTGCTTGTTTAGAAAATGAAATAAGAAAGGCTCAGGTAAATAAAGAAATTCTCTTGGCTACATTTTTTGATATTGAAAAAGCATATGATATGCTTTGGAAGGAGGGTTTATTAATTAAGATGAATAAAATGGGAATCAAAGGAAAAATGTTTAATTGGATTAAGGATTTTTTAAAGAATAGAAAAATAGAAGTAAGAGTTGGGGTAAATTATTCAAACATTTATGATATACAAAATGGAACTCCACAAGGTAGTGTATGTAGTCCAGTGCTTTTTAATATAATGATTAATGATATTTTTGATAATATAGATTTTAGAATTAATAAAGCATTATATGCAGATGATGGGGCATTATGGGTGAGAGGAGGAAATCTTAGTTATTTAAAAAATAGAATGCAATCAGCAATTAAAACGGTAGAAAGATGGTCACACGAATGGGGGTTTCGTTTGTCTGTTGAGAAGACACAAGTATTATGTTTTTCAAGGAAAAGGGATAATCCAACAGTAGATCTTAGATTATATGGGCATGAATTGAAACAGGTAAATATGATAAGGTACCTTGGTGTATGGTTTGATGAAAAACTTTCATTTAAGATACATATGCAGAAGATTATTGATAAATGTAAAAAAGGTATTAATATATTGAAATGTTTGTCAGGGAATGACTGGGGGGCAACTAGCTCATCCTTGAAAAGAATATATGATGTTTTAATTCGATCTGTGTTGGACTATGGATGTATTGTTTATAAATCAGCTGCAAATTCTTTGTTGTTAGATTTAGATAGAATCCAAGCCAAAGCGCTTAGGATATGTAGTGGTGCTTTTCGAACATCTCCAGTTCCTGCTCTTCAAGTGATTACTGGAGAAATGCCACTGGACTTAAGGAGGATGAAACTGTCAATAAATTACTGGTTAAATTTACAAGGGCATGAGGAAAATCACCCTACTAAACAGATATTCAGAGAATGTTGGGAATATGGCCATAATATAAGGAGTTTTGGATGGGAAGGAAATATTTATGCAGAGTATTCTGGGATAAGTAATATAACATACTGTAAAACTGTAAGTACATCTAAAATTGCTCCATGGTTTTTCGAAATGCCAATAGTAAATTTAGAAACTAAAAAAATAGAAGAGTCTTGTGGAGGTTTGTATCAAATTATTCAGCAGCATTTAGAAGTAAGGTATGAAAATATGACACAAATATATACAGATGCATCAAAAGAGGAAAATGGTAAAACAGGAGTAGCAGTATATATTCCAAAAGAAAATATTTCTATCAAGAGAAGAACAACAGATAATTTATCAATTTTTTCAGCAGAGATGTTGGCAATTATTTTAGCATTGCAATGGGTGCTGGAGGTGAAGCCTAGAAATGTAGTTATCTGTTCAGATTCAATGTCTTGCCTGACTAGTTTTAAAAGTGGAAAATCTGAAAGCCGTCAAGATCTTTTAGATGAAGTCAGTTATTTAATGTATGGTATAAGGCAACAAAATATAAGTATTCAATTCACATGGGTTCCAGCACACAAAGGAATCTTAGGTAATGAAAAAGTAGATAAGTTAGCTAAAGAAGCAGTTAAAGTAGGAGAAATTGAATATGATGTCCCGCTAAGTAGAACAGAAATAAAAGTAATTATTAAAGATAAAATAAATAAGGTATGGCAGAAGAGATGGAATTTAGAAAAAAAAGGAAGACATTTATATAAAATACATAAAGATATTAGCATAGGATATAACAGTATAATGAGTAGAAGAGAGGAAATATGGATAAACAGGTTAAGGATTGGGCATACTAGTTTAAATGCAGGTCTAAAAATAATAGGGAAACATCCAACGGGTAATTGTTGTTATTGCGGAGAAATCGAAGGAGTAGAACATGTGTTGATCTATTGTAGCAAATATACAAAAGAGAGGAAAGAACTGGAAAGGGTAATGGGGAGTTCAGTAAAGATGGCAGATTTATTAGGGAAGCATCAATCAGATAAGATAATTAAAGCACTTATTAAATATTTAAAAGATACAGAATTAGCTGGGAGAATTTAGTGTGTGTATGTGCGTGTGTGTAAGTATAGATAGAATTTAGTTTCATGAAGATATAAAGATATACAGACATATTTCTGAATTACATCTCCGTCCAGTTGATGGCGGTAATGCACACAGGATGCAAACTGCCAGAAAACTCAATAGAAGAAGAAGAAGAAGAATGTTCTGGAAGCGGTGAAGCCGAGCAGGAGCTGCAGTTCCCGGACGCGGATGTCCTGCTCCTTCCTTCCTTCCTTCCTCCGGGAAGCATCACCTGACCGATGACTCAGTCCTTCCAGGAACCTAATAATCTGATAACCGTTTGTTTTCAAACACCGGCAGCTCATCAATCATGTACCCGCTGGCTCCAGGGGCTCAGTGCCCCACCTATCCGAACCAAAGTCCGGCCAACCGGCCGCTGAGGTCCCGTGATCATAAGCAGGCTGTAGCAGGAGGCGCCATGCATGAATATAACGGTTAGCAACAGAGAAGCTAACTGACTGACTGTGTCATCATCCCGGAGGGGGTGTCGCACCTCACACCGACCCCCCTCGGTCACGGCAGCCTCAGATAAACCCCCTCCAGCCCCGCAGCTCCATCATGTAGCCCCGTTAACCAGCTCCATCCGAGCGGCTAAGGGTTAGCATCGACCGCTAGCGGCTTTAGCACAGATGCTCCACGGGCTGCCGCTCCCCTCAGTTGATCCCTCTGACCTAGAAACACTCCCGAACCCACAGCTAACCCCCCCGCCGCTCATTCTCACCTGCATCCGGTGGAACTCCTCCTCAGACAGAGCCTGCGACATGGCCATGGTGCCGGAGCGCCGCCAGCTAGCAGGCTAATGCGGCTAACAGGGAGGCAGGCAGCGGCGGAGATGGGCACGAACAGCAGAGGTCTCACTCTGACACAGATTCCCAAAGCAGGGCAAAGGGCCAGAGGAGTAACAGAGAACCAACTTAGACCCTAGGAACTTTCTGGACCTTGGTCTGAGATGCTTTCCTCTGCTGTTATACGTTTCTGCTGCTATTTCAGATTTTTTTCTCCTGACTTTTCACAGCATTGATTTAATTTTTATTTATCTCTACTTGACTATTATTAGATACATATCTGTGTTTGTAAGAAGGTAAAACAAGCAATAATTTAATATTTATCCATCATTTGTTAGTTTCATTGAAAAACATTGCGTTTAATTAAATAAATGTTCTAAATACAGAATCAAATGAGCAAAGCTGTAAATCATAATGTTAAAACTCTAAATATTGATATCCCAAACCATTTCCCTCAAGTGTGTAACTTTGGAATGAAAGTTGGTGGGGAAACTCTATAAGGGTTGGAGATGATGAACCTGGAGTTACAGGATTTAAAGGCTTTTGTATTTAGCTACAAATGAGCCCAAACACAAATGGCTAGAACCAATCCGCCCCCTAACCACTAACCCTTAACTATCAACTCTCGCTAACAATGAAGTCTCACTCCCAGCTGTGGAAGGGGCCCTGATTGACTGTGGTGAGGGAGCATAAACGAGAATGGGACGGCCTCTTCCCTCCAACAGAAAAAGAAAGCAGTCTACTTTTAAGGCTAGGCTTAAAACTTTCCTTTTTGATAAAGCTTCTAGTTAGAGTGGCTCAGGTTATCCTGATCTATCTCTATAGTTCTGCTGCTATAGGCTTAGACTGCTGGAGGACATAGGGACCCCTTTTTCATCATTCTGCTTCATTCTATCTCTATTCTCCCACTCTGCAGAATCTGTTAGTTCAATCTCTAACGTTCTGCTCTCTCTGCTTTTTCTCATAGTAGCTTCATCTGGCCTGTTCCTGTTTGGCTGTGACTCCATCCTGGAGAGAAATATCAGCTTCTTGGTGTGAGGGATTGCTGAAGAGTCAGTGTCTACTGTCTCTACCTGCTCGTCCAGGAGGAGAGAATCCTGACTGGATGCAATTGGCTGGTTTTCCTTAGAACCTTTAATCTGACTGGATGATCTGGCGTTCTTGCAAATGTATATGTAAACAACTGGTACTGTAGGTAAACAGTCGGCAGTGCAAATCAATATAAAGTAGTGCAAGATGCATGTAAACGGTTGTTACTATAGTAACAGTCAGCAGTGCAAGTGAACATTATAGTATTGCAAATACTTTGCAGCTTAAAGCGGGACCCCAGCTCTGTAAGTTGGCCTTGGTTCTGATCCGCTGTCCGATTGGTCTGCAGGTGAAGCTCTGGGTCGAGCCGTTTCAAAGGGCGGTTGTGTGTTTGAGGAAGGAGTCGTCCCTGCGATGCTCTGACACCATCAACCTTAGTGAGGTAATCAGTCCTGAGCTGTTTATTTCAATTCTGTCACTTCCTGATTCTGTGCTCAGGGTGAGAGAGGCCGGCTGTTGAATTATTAACTGAAGCGGTTAAATTTAGAGGCAGAGCCGAGCCACTGTCGTTCTGAACGTCTCTGAGATGGAGCTGCTGCCCTCGCTGCTGTCCTCCCTGAAGTCCAAGGATCCCGCTACTCTGGACCAGGAGTACAGTGTGAGTCTCTGCTTTCATTCCTCACCTGTCAGCCTGTTTCTGAGCCTTTTCTTTTCAGCTAAAAACTAACTTTCCTAAAACTCACCTTCTTTCTTGTCCCTGCACGGTTAGATTGACAGAATGTGGAGCTAAAATAATCCAGTTTTCTGGTTTGTTTCTGTGTCTCCGTTTTATTCCCATCCGGTTCTGCTCTGTGGAAAACTTTCCTGAAAAAAAAAAGAAAGCTTTCAGTGCTTCTGCCTGTGGTTTAGCCTCTGAGCTGTTTATTCAAAAGAGTAACTAACTAGAAGCCTGCAGAAGTCGCTGATGTCAGCTTCATTTGGTTAACCTATGCAAATTTCTATTCAGATTCAGGGTTTTATTGCTGCTCCGTTCAAACTGCAGCGCCTGATAGACCCGATCGATGTCTCAACGTTTGATCTATAAAGGTATTTAGATCCAGTGGAGTCTTTTAGGTTAGGGGTTCCACCTGACGCCCTTCTGGGCTCCCTCACCTTTTTAGTTTTAAAGTGTTACAGAAACAGTTCAGTTTATTTCTATAGCTCCAATTCACATCATGTCATCTCAGGTCACTTTCCAGTTCACCAGATCATCCAGTCAGATTGATTCAAAGTTTTCTATCTAAGGAAAACCAGCTGATTGCATCGACTCATTGACTCTTCAGCAATCCCTCACACTAAGCATGCTTGTAGCGACAGTGGAGAGGAAAAACTCCCTTTGAACAGGAAGAAACCTCCAGCAGAACCAGGCTCAGTGTGAGCGGCCATCTGCTGAGGCCCACTGGGGTTCAAGGAGACAGAAGCAGAGATAGAAAAAGAAGCATAGATACAAAAGGCAACTGTCAACCAGCTCCACAGGCGGCCCCGTCCAGGAAACACACAGCCAGGCAGACGAGCTCAAGGCCGTAAGATATTGAACTAACAGAGGGAGAATAGAGATGATGAAAAAGGGGTCCCTATGTCCTCCAGCAGTCTAAGCCTATAGCAGCATAGCTATAGAGCTCAGGATAACCTGAAACACACGGGAGTTTTTTAAGGACATGAGCACCTTAGTTAGCATTAGTTGATCTATTTCAGTCTCAGTTTGTGAAACAGAAACACCGACAGGAAAATATTTTCTTTTTTTCCACAAATACATCTTAAATAACTGCTTTAAAACATTGAATTCAGTCCTTTATCTCTGACTTCCCTAAATAATATTTTGATTGGGTTCAAGACAAACCCAGTGAAAAGTATTTGCAGGTGTTTATTTAAATCTCTGTATGAAGGCAGATTTTTTGTGAAGGCCTCAGAGATACATAAGAAAACCAACAGCATCATAAAAACAAAGGGAAAAAATGTATGTTCTGGCTTCTTGGCGCCAAGTTGTCACATCTGTGCTCCTTACAAATCAGGCTTTTATAAATACAGTTGTTAAAACAAGGTAATGAAAGCGACACTGCAAAAACGATAAGATGGCTGTACAGTGGGTAAATATGTGATGGTAGGAATAGGCCGTGGGAAAGTTTTTTTTTTATTCAACAGGGTAACACTGCAAAAAATCTAAATCGAGATCAGTCATTTTTTCTTAAAATAAGTGCATTTGTTCATGAATTGAGGAGGTAAAAGAGACATTTTACCAATGGAACAAGACAATTTACACTTAAAATAAGAACACACAATTGCATTGTCTTATTTCAAGTGCATATTATCTAATTATCTTATTTTAAGAGTAAAATTACTCATTCCATTGGCAAACTATCTAATTTATCTACTCAAATTAACGGTGAATACACTTAATTTAAGACATTTTTACTTATTTCTAGATCGTTTTTGCAGTACAGGACACCTAGCCACAGCTGACTGGGTTGATACGCTGCAAAAACATTCTGGAAATAAGTAAACGTTTCTTAAATTTACCCTTATTTATCCTTAATTTGAGCAGGTAAATACGATGATTTGCCAAATTAATGAGTATTTTTACTCTTAAGATAAGATAATTAGATAATATGCACTTGAAATAAGACAATGTAGTCGTTTTTTTCTTGTTTTAAATGTAAATAGTCTCGTTCCATTGGAAAAGTGTTTCATTGACCTCAATTAAAAAAACTAATGCATTTATTATAAGAAAAAATGACTTGAGATTTATCTTTTTTTTACAGTGTACTGTCTCTGGAGGCACATTTAATAATATTCTAATTTAAAAAGTTTCCACTTAATAAAGTTTGACTCAATTTGAGAATTTGTGTCAAGATTAGAAAACTGATGTTAACAGATGCTTTCAATCAAACAGAGCTTGAACTATTTTTCCAAAAAGTCTCTCTCGGCGCACGGCCCCATGCATTTTTTAATAATAAAAATGTTTTGAAAAGATTCTTGGATTAACAACTTTGCTTTATTAATTTCACTTTAACTACGAATACATGTTCAATGTTTACAATCGCTTTAATCTACTTTGGGCGAAAGTTAATATTGATGACCTCCTTTTCAAAATGAGATCTGTAATAATAAAAAAAAGATTTGATTTTAAACCAGAAAATCTAGTTTCAGATCTAGTCCTTGATGCTTCTGTTAGTGGTTGAGGGGCAGGAGACGCCCTGGAGGGGTTCGTTCATCATGGATGCGCAGGAAAGACAGAACACTGGCCTGTTTTTGGAGAACCAACACGGAGAATCAGGATTCAGACCTAAAGACCTTCTCACTAGTCAACAGTCAGGGGCAGATCTAGGAAATTTGGGGCCCTAGGCATAGGCGCATCAAACAGCCCCATTCTCCAGATGTAGAAATGTTAATAGAATAGACATCCATTATCTGTTCCAGGTTGTGTCCCTCTCTTCTTGTCCCTTTTCTTCTTGTTTTCCTCTCTATGTTTTGTACTCAGCTGACTTTTCATGCCGTCTCTAAAGGAATGAAAGATTTTTTCCAAGCACTAAGCTCACTTAGCTGATTGCTCCTTCCTGTGTTTCCAAAAAGGCCAAAGTAAATAACCCAGTCCTTCTTTTCACTGTAGACAAGCCATGATCTGCTTATCTGTTCTCCATTTTTCATTAGGATGAAATAATAGCTGCATGAATCATGACAGCAGACAAGATAGAGGAGAGCAGGAGGCGGGGTTACCAATCTACTTGCTCTGGAGAGCAGAGTTCGCTGCTTTTAGATGTTGTCTCCAAAGTCTCCAGTAGCAGAAAAAAGTCGCTAGGTTTTGCGCTAGGAGCTTTTTAGAAAGGCTTTAGATTTTTTTTGTTATTTTCTATTTCGAGGATAAAAGTCGTAATATCACGAAAATAAAGTTTCGTAACGTCACAACTTTATTCTCGTGATTTTATTACTTTATTCTCATAATGTTACGACTTTATTACATTCGATCACTGCTGCATTTTATGGAATGGAAATGTTTATTTACCGTCTGGAAAGCTGCACTAAACCAAATTTTGTTTTATATTCATTCTGTGTATGCAAAATGACGATTAAAGTTGTCTAATTTATTCTCATATTGTTAGGACTTTATTCTCATAATTTTACGACCATATTGTGACTATTTTCGTTGCAACAACCATACATGTAGACGGAGTATTATGGGGCCCCCAGGAACTTGGGCCCCTAGGTAACTGCCTAATGTTGAATCCCTCCATGTCGACAGTTCTTACAGCTGTGCAGCAGGAAACATGGTGCAGCTATTTGTTAGCTGAACAAAGGTCAGTGGTGAGGGTTTGCTTCAAGAGGAGGAGCTTAGAAAGGAGGCCTGCTGGTAAGGAAGGAGCTGAGCTGGCAGGTGAAGCTCTGTTGTAATCTTCCATCCATGTTCCCTGAACTTTGATCCTGAGATGCGGATCACAGCTAAGAAGGAAATAAAAGTTCAGGATGAGAGCAGATAAAATGAGCTGTAGGATGGAAGACACGGCGAAGAACCCGATGGGAGCTCAGAGTCACAGGTTAGATTCTTCCTCTGATGAAGACGCCTCCCTTTGGAGAGGACGGGCCGAACTTTGGAAGGAAGCACCTGTAGAGGGGTCCGATGTGAAGGTCAGAACCCTGAGTCTCCTGTGTCTGGGTTCTGCACACGTCACTGCGTAATAAAAGGCGGCCTAACAGGAAAGAGAAGAACGGTCGGTAAGAAGAGAAGCAGCCTCCAAAGATAGACACCTGGTTCAGAGAACATTTCAGACTCTGCTCTCATCATTAGACCTTCTTCTATTTTCACATTGATGCTCTGAAACCACATCCTCTGATCGGAGGAGCAGCAATCAGACCGCCTCATCTGATGCTTGGTGTTTATTCATAGATACTCGACTGACCGCTAACAGGGGCTGGTTGCACAACACCACAACCAGAACATTGTGGTCGGACGACGCTGATGACTCGCAGCTTTACACACTAAATGAATGTAACATAACACTCAGAGCTGGTTTACATTAACTGCACGCGCTGCCTGATTAACGGACTGCTGTGTCACTGTCAACCAACGCTGGTTTGCTCGTCTGAGAGGACCTAATAGGTAAAGGATGTGGTCTTCAGCTGGTTCCTTTATCCTTTTAGAGGAACCTTAACAAACAGGAACAAGCAAGGTTGAAAGCAGCTGCTGTTCATTTTGCAGAGATGAAAGCAGGATGGATAAACGAAGAGTCCACCAGGATGCGGCTGCAGGAAACCTTTGCTTTCCTTTGACTCTATCAGTCAGAGCCAGTTCACCCAGATCTTCTCCAGCAGCTTTAGATGAGGGAGGTTTACAGGCTTTAGATGCTCCACAGCTTCCTGTAGCTCCAACACAGCATGTCACCTAGATTCAGGTCTGGACTTTGACTGGACCACTAGCCTTAGCATTAGCAGAACAGTAGCCTGGCCACTGGCCAGCCACACTAACATGCACCATAAGAGGAAACTAACAGATTCGGCACAAACCGGTTAGAACCAGTCAGATCATTACAGGTGTGACCCAAAAACTTTTATTTCTTTTAAGAAAAGCTCTTCCTGCAGATATAACTCCTGATGTTGTGGACTGGTGTGGTTACAGAAATGCACTGT